CAGCCCAGTACTGCCTTAGAGCGGGCCACCTTTTCCGAAGGCTAGTAGGGTCGGGAATGCCCTTACGAGTAGTCTGTGATCCTGAGGAGAGACAGACGATAGTTGCGGAACTTCACGACGGGGTAGTCGGAGGACACAGGGGAGTTAAAGGAACCTACGAAAAGATACGCCGACTGTACTGGTAGGAAGGGCAGTATAAGGACGTCGGGAGGTACTGTATGACATGCGAAGAGTGTCAGAAGAGAGCTCTTGTGAAATACAAAGAGTCACTTCATCCATCCTATCCGACCAGACCAGGAGAAAAGGTACACATCAATCTAGTGAAAATGCCGAGAGGGGTAGGCAATATGAACTACGTCGTGAACATACGAGACGATTTCACTGGTTTCGTGGACGGTAGACCTATCAGGAGAAAGGCGGCAAAGGAAGTAAAGAACTTTGTCCTAGAGTACTTTTCGAGGTATGGTTGTGTCAGCAAGATAGTGATGGACAAAGGGGCGGAATTCCTAGCCGACGAGGTTCAGAGCGTGTTTAGGAGAGCCGGTGCGAGAGTTTCGATAGCCACCGCCTATCACCCACAGTCGAACTCCCYAGTAGAGAGGGGACACCAGACTCTGATAACGTCACTATCCAAGCGGTGCAAGGGTAAGGACAGTGATTGGCCACGATATTTTCGATACGCAATATGGGCGGACAACGTCACGGTCCGGGCTAGTACCGGATACCCACCGTACACCTTGTGGTTTGGACGACATTGCCCGCTTCCCATAGAGTTTCACGTCGACAGCTGGACAACCGTCGACTGGGCGGAGGAGATGTCCAGAGAGGAACTCTTAGCTGCCCGAACGAGACAAATAGCCTACGGTTTGGAAGATGACCTCATGACAGCGGCAGATCGTCTGGTAGTGGAAAGGGACAAGGGTAAAAAGAGATGGGATAAGAACGTGCGAATCAGGAAAGAGAGGGTGAGCGTAGGAGATATGGTCCTTCTCTACGATGCAGCGCTGGAAAGAACCTGGACCGGAAAACTCGCCAACAGATGGATGAGACCTTACAAAGTGGTTGAGACACTCGACTGGGGTGCATATATGACAGCAGAATTGGATGGATCTAAGTGGAAGGACCCAGTGGCGGGCGCTAGGTTAAAGTTGTTGAGGCCCAGGCCCTCGCCCGCTTTATCCCTAACCAGCCCGAAAGGGAAAGGGAAAGCCATGATGGAGGATGGAGCCCCCTTGAGGCAATTCGAGGCAGGGGAGAGTTCCAAGAAAAGGAAAAG